TTCACTTCAAGTTTTGTCTTTCATTTGGGAGGATTTTTTAAAAAGTGTCTTTGCATCTTTGCCTCCTTTTATTTATTTCGTTTTGAGGCCACATGCAGCTCAGGGTTTTCTCTTGGCTTTATAAACCCAGGGATCACTAGTGGTCAGGGGATCATATGTTGTGCCTGGGAATCAAAACTGGGTTGAATGAATGAGTACAAGGCAAGTGCTTTATATCCAACCTATCTCTCCATACTTGCCTGCTTTTATTTGTCTTGTTTTGCTTTGAGATAAGTGCTGATGATGCTCAGGGCTTACTCCTGGTTCTGCACCCTGGAATAACACGTGGAGGACTTGGGAAACCATGTGTGGTGCTGAGAATTGAGCACAGGTTGGCTGCATGCAAAGCAAATGCCCTACCTGTGGTACTAGAGCTCCAGCCCCCTGTTGCTTATAAAGTGTGGCACAAAGAAGCAATTTCTCAGATCCCTGCATGTGGAAAGAAAGGATCAGTTCTCACCATTTCAGTGAGAATCTTCCTCACCACCTCACTGGGCACTCCCCTCCCCCTGCAGCCACCAAAGTGTTGATATCTGAGGGATTGTGTGTGTGGACACTTAATACTGTAAGTGTCATATGACTGCCTACTTGGAGATGGAGATGAAAGCTAAGTTCTCAAGGTCTTCAGATAAATTTGTGTTGAATCCTTACACACATACACACACACAAATATATATAAGTTCAATCATCGTGAGATACAACTACAAAGCTATTCATGATCAAGTTTCACTCATACAGTGTTACAACACTCATCCTTCCACCAGTGTACATTATCCCACCACCAGAGTCCCCGGTATCCCTCCCAACATGTCCCCCACCCCAACCACTCCAGTCTAACTCAATAGCAGGCACTTTTCTATTCTTCTTTTTCTCTCTTTCTCATTTTGGGCATCATAGCTTGCAATACAGGTACTGAGAGGTTATCGTGTTTGTTCCTTTACCTCCTTTCGGCATGTAGCTCTTATCTAGAGTAATCATATTTCCTACTATTATTGCCAGAGTGGTCCCTTCTCTGTCTCAATTGCCCTCTCCCCCAGTACTTACGGCCGGCTTCAACTGTGGATGGATCCTCCTGGCCCTTGTTTCTACTGTCCTTGGGTATTAGTCTCATACTATGTTTTTTGTTTTATATCCCACAAATGAGTGCAGTCATTTTATGCCTGTCCCCTTTCTTCTGACTCATTTCACTCAGAATCATTCACTCCATGTCGATCCATTTACAAGCAAATTCTTTTGATTCCAGTCTGAGACCCTCATTTCCATCTTCAGCTGTGCTCTGGTACCTCTGCTGAAATGAAGCCACTTGTGTTTTAGTGACAAGGTGGACAGCCACCTGGTGATGCATGCTGAAATCTTTCCTCTTCAACTTGGAGTTAATTATTTTCTTTTGTCCTTCTGAAGCCTTTAATTTGTCAGTTGATTCTAGGCTGTGAGGCATAGTTCCTTTCTTGATTGCAAACTCAGTGATGCAAATTCCTACTGCAGAGCTTTTTCAATCCTAGGTGCATACAAACGCTTGAAAGTCTTCATTAATTTAAATACTTTGGGAGCCACACAAAAGATCTGATTGTGTAAATCAAAGACAGAAGCCAGGAATCTACACTTTAAACAAATCTCCCAGATGAGTCAGCAGCATATCACTTAATCACTTAATCACTTAACCTCCCGTTAGTCATCGATTTGCTCGAGCGGGCGCCAGTAACGTCTCCATTTGTCCCTGTCGCGTGCCAGTGCAGCCCAATGGCATCTCTTCGCTCCGGGAACATGAAGGGCCTCAAACCGATCGATCGTGATCTTGACGAAGAAGTCTGACCATCTGGTAGGTGGGCGGCCACGCGGTCTTTGACATCCCATGGAATCCAGTCAGTAACAGCTCTAGTCCAATGGTCGTCTTTAAATCTCATTACGTGACCAGCCCGTCGGATTTTCAACACCTTGGCAAATGAGACAGCGTCCCTGATTCTTGATCGTCGATGGATGTCAGAACTCCGGATTCTTTCTCTCATTTGAGTGAAACGTGATATTCTAAGCATAGCTCTTTCTATTCTTCTTTGGGAGACATGAATAGCGTCCTCATCTTGTTTGCATAGGGCCCAGGTCTCTGAGGCATATGTTAATGCAGGAAGAACAGTGGAATCAAAGAGATGTGCCCGGAGCCGGAGGTTCTTCGTCCTCTTAGCTATTGCTTCGACATTCTTGAAGGCGTTCCAAACTGCTCTCTTCCTCCTGCGCAGCTTGAGTGCCAGGTCATTTGTCATGTTGACCTCTCGACCTAGGTACACATAGCTGTTGCATTCGGAGATGGTCGTTCCATTGAGAGCAAATGGGGCGTCAGGAACAAGGCTGTTTCTCATAAACATTGTCTTCGTAAGATTCAGCTGTAGTCCTACCTTTCCACACTCACGGTCAAAGTCGGCCAGCATTTGTGCCGCTTGGCTGATGTTTGGTGTTATTAAAACAATGTCATCAGCAAAGCGGAGGTGGTGTAGTTGCTGACCATCTATCTTCACTCTCATTCCTTCCCATTCCAGTCGTCGCATGATGTTCTCGAGGGTGGCACTGAAGAGTTTCGGTGAAATGGTATCACCCTGCCGCACCCCTCTCTTGACATCAACGATCACTTCTTTGTAGAATGGTGAGATCCTGGTAGTGAATCCGCAATACAGCTCACGGAGGATCCTGATGTATTGGGCTTGAATGCCCTGATTGGCTAGGGCTTCAATGACCGCTTCCGTCTCAACAGAATCAAAGGCCTTCTTTAAATCAATGAACGTTAAACAGAGCAGCATCTTGAACTCCCGAGAAACCTCAATGAGCTTGGTTATCCTGTGGTTATGGTCGATGGTGCTGAATCCTTTGCGGAACCCGGCTTGCTCGCATGGTTGTCCTTCATCTAGTGTTCTGCCAATCCTATTTAGGATGACTCGAGTGAACAACTTGTAGATGACAGACAATAGGCAGATCGGGCGATAGTTGCCAATGTCATGGATGTCTCCCTTCTTGAACAGTAGTACGGTCCTGCTGGTTTTCCATTGGGACGGAACCTTGCACCTCAAGGTGCTGCCCAAAGCAGCATATAGTTCTCATATATTTGAGAAACAAACTCTTAGGAAAAGGAAACCTCTACTCTTTATTGATTTATTTATTTATTTTAAATTTTCATCTGGAGTGATGATAGCACAGTGGGTAGATTGCTTGCCTTGCACGTGGCTGACCCCGGTTCAATTCCTCCACCCCTCTTGGAGAGCCTGGCAAGCTACCCAAGAGTATCCCACCTGCACGGCAAAGCCTGGCAAGCTACCCGTGATGTATTCAATATACCAAAAACAATAACAAGTGTCACAATGGAGACATTACTGGTGCCTGCTTGAGCAAATCAATGAACAACTGGAGGACAGTGAACAGACAGTGCTACATTTTTAATTTTAGTGAATCACCATGAGATGCATGAAACCTCTACTCTTGACTTACAACACAGGGACTCTTTGACTTGTAATCTCTTTGCCCCTACCTACTTTCAGTTTCTACTTTCCTGATCTTGAGGTTCAAATTTTTTTCTGAACTTGCCATACTCATTACCTTTTAGTTCTTCTACAATATAGTGTTTTCATCAATGATGCCATTAACTCCTTTGTGAGCTCAGTGCAATTCTTTTGAAGTTCAGCTCAAGGACCAACTCCTTTGATGACTTTGCCTACCAGTTGTTGCCATGTATATATCGTCTATATTGCTTTCATTATATTGTCATCTCTTCTATTAGATTGTGGGCCTCAGGAAAGCAGGGACTATATCTTCTTCATTTGTCTAGAATGTTATTTTACAAAGTAAACTAAAATTATTTAGTGAGCACACTAAATTTTGTTGATTCAACATTCCAATTGGGTTAGGGACATTACTTCTATGTAAAAACTGATTTGATTGCTAAAATGAGGAAATCATCTAGTATTAGCAGTTTGGGTGCTTTTTTCCTGCTGCCTTCCTAATATGATGGGGTTGTTCCCTGTGCATAAGTGAATCTTGAATCCTGGAAGTGACCCATGAGATTTTCCAATTTGGGAATTCTCACTGGATCTGTGGATTATGTACTGTCACTTCTGAGCTGACTAACAGTCAAAGCAAGTCAGTCCAGAGTCATTGCTCATAGCATGGCCTCTTATACCATTTGGACTTTTGACTCCTCTATTTAAGGCAGCCACATTTATTTCAAGAATAAAAAGTATGTTTATTCTACTTTTTGTCTACTCTTCCCATAATGAATTGTGCAGGCATTATGCCGATGATGATTATTCAGCTGACAACTTCTTTCTCGAGAAAGTGGGCTCTTTTTGGTGGCAATATAAAGATACTGCCTCCTCCCCACCCCCACCCCTAACCCCTCACCACCAACCCAACTTCTCACACGTAGCCCCTGGAATTTACAACACCTTTATTTCCAAGACCTCAGCTGAGATTAGGGAGCTGAATTCCAGCAAAGGTCAGGAACAAACCAAACAAACATCTAGAGCCCTTGACTGGGTTTAACATACGTGAAGGGAGTAAATGCTAATTCTTGATTATTTTTAGCAGGTGAAGGAAGGGATCAAGTGCTAAGAAACAAAGACACAGGAGCTGCCAGCATGCAGTTATTAGTGCTTATTTCTTTTTACCTTGTTTCATTTATGCTCACTTTCAAATAGAGTTCTTTATTTTGTCACAGCTCATACAGAGTGAAGATTCAAAAGAAGCCCATAAAAATAGAATGAATAACTAACAAATTGTACTTAAATCTTTGACTTTCAGTCTGTGGCTCAGTTACAATGAAACAATGAGCTGCCTGAAAAGCAGAAAGCCAGAGACAGAAAGATGGGGGTCAGGGATGGAGTACATTGAAAGCTATCAAATTAGATCAGCAACCTCAGAAAGCGGAATGTCTGTATGTATAACTGGTTCCTCACAATCATGAAACATAACAGAGCCAAGAAACAAAAGCAACTTGGAATTTTAATTTAATGTCTTTCATATTTCTTTGATAATTAGGTTTTACATAAATAATGTCCACCTGGGGCTGGAGCGATAGCACAGCGGTAGGGCGTTCGCCTTACAAGCGGCCAACATGGCCAACCCGAGTTCGATTCCTCCGCCCCTCTCAGAGAGTCCAGCAAGCTACCGAGAGTATCTCGCCCACACGGCAAAGCCTGGCAAGCTCCCCGTGACATATTCGATATGCCAAACACAGTAACAGCAAGTCTCATGATGGAGACGTTACTGGGCCCGCTCGAGCAAATCGACGATCAACGGGAGGGCCTTTACCTTTCCTTTAATGTCCACCTGCAACACTTGTATTTCCTTTAAACAAGTAGTATCTAATCACTTGTGCATGTATTGTGAAAAATAAGCAGGTCCTCTTAATTTACACTTTTCTCGATTTTATTGACATGAATATTCAACAACTATAGTAGCTGCCACTTTAAGTGACCACAGACAAACAAAATATAACATTATTTTACATGGTTATATTACATTTTATAAAGTTAGCTACAGCATACCCATGTTTTGTTATAAAATGTATTTCTTTGGCTATATGTAAGATGTTAATACTAACTGGTGCTTGAACAGATACCCATGTCAGCAATGGAAAGGTGAAAATAGGTTAAAATTGCTTATATAATTTATGTGCTTAAACATCTCTATTAGCATGACTTTTGTCTATTGCTATATTAAAGTTTTGATGTTAGGAACCATGTTTGAAAATAAACAGTAGCACCTCTTTTTTGTCCTGCCTGATCCTTATTCACGCCAAGAAATCATGTGTGTTACTCATCAAATGTTATCAGTATGTTAAATTTTTGATCAAACCTCTTTAGAACAGCTATAGAATGCAACTTAATTATAATGCAGAGACAGATTTGTTTTGAGCATATAATACTTTGGGTAAATGAATGCAGATCATGATACTGATGTGGAAAATGAAAGACTATTAAGATGGAAAAAGGAGGCAAAAAACAAAGTTTAGTGCATGGTAATAAAAATGAGTTCACACTTAAAATAGAACTTAAAATATATGAACTAACTGAAAATATTAGTAACCCAAAGTAATTTGGAATCCAAAGTTTGAAGCCTTTTGTGAGGACAGACATCTGAAATAGTGATTGGAAAGAAATTAATAAACAAGACCTAGTGATGTGTAAATAGAATCCATCTGGCATATTAATTAATTATTGTCCTTTGTTTTTGGCTGCATTGTTGGATTCTGGTTTACAGTATCATCACATTTGATGCTGGCTGAAAGCAACATCGCTGTGTATTTCCAATACATGTCCCCAAGTTACTAAAAGGAAAAAACAAATCCGTCGGAACTCTGTTATATTTTAAGACAGAGTTAAAGTTCTTGAGCCCAATTTGTTCCTGAACTCACTCTGAGAACATTGCACTGTGTTTTGCTGGAACAGAATCAGGACCTTTTACATTGATGTGACAGGCCAATGATGAATGTCTGGCTAAGAATGGGAATCTGTCCCCTTGCTCCCACCCTCATCTCATTTCCTCTCCCTTCTGTTTTCTCTGGTACACACTTTCACACACATCTCATCCTGAACTAACCTAAAGCACTTCGTGAAGGGCATTAAAAGAATTAGGTAGGAATGCATAAGGCAAGAGGATTTTTTTACCCTCTCAAAGAGCAATTTGGCCTTTGATAGAAAAGCACCAATGCAAGAAGTCTTTTCCATTAGCTATTTACAAAACTGAGATCAAAGTTAGTAATACAGGTTGTGGGTAAATGGGCTACTCTGTGTGATCTTTTAAAATAAGGCTATTGTAACTATCCTATGGTACAAGTGCCAGAGGCATTTTCACTGCAGCGTGGGGGGGAGGTGATGCCTTGTCTATCATGTGGACAACTGCTCCAGGCAACTCACATTCTGTCCAGGATGGGGTAACTGGCATCTCTCCTCCAAAATGGTATAAACACAGGGACCTGCCCGTTGTTTAATCATCTACATGGAATAGTGTCTTGTAGCTGAGTATTTACAGAGGACAGAACTAAACAAAGAGCATTTCAATGACAATAGTGAAACAAGAAGACAGGTTTTATAATCCTAAAAACATTATAGGTAGTATTTTCTTTGTAGAATATAGATGTGGGAGATTTCAAAGCACTCTGGTGAGATGGCATTCCAAACCTTCTCTCCCCCTTGGTGACCTTATGTTACATATGAAATAATACGTTTAATGATTAAAAAAAAAACCCAACCACCTTAATCTCTCTTTCTGACTCACCCCTTTGGACTATCTGAATGTTTTCTGATGTCTCTAAAATATCAGCTATACTGTTTTCACATTTTATATCTAAGTTTGGTTCAACCACAGGTATGACACTATGAATAAAAGTTATTTTAAGAGATTTAAAAATTTTCAAATTGAGAAATATAAATTTCATTTAAAATTATTTTACAATTACACATTATTTCCTTTGTCTAGGATTCACATTAACTAAAAAGAAAACCTTTAACAGGAATTCTAAGTAATCTCATTTTAAACTTGAGTCGTGTGTAAATATACTGGAAGTTATTAAGAGCCCCATGAAAGTGCTCTCTGTAAAATATTAAGTGCTTTCACAATGAAGCTGTCTCAATTCTCCCTGCTTTGCTTCTCTTGCTGGACCCAGCCGGTAAAATGTCATGTGTAACCATGAGTGCTAAGAAAACAATCACTCATACATTTTTACATTGTGCAAACACACAGCTGCTTTGTTTTGTTTTGGCAAATGCTTCATTGTTTTAATGACTTCTGTCCAAAATAAAGACTATGGAATTAAGTGAATATTCTTTCTTCAGGATGAGCTGTATTTATTACTGGAACGGAAGTTGTCATATCCGTGATCATTAGCTTTGAACTTTAGGCATGACTGCTTTTCCTCCATGGACTGTTTTTCTTCAAATGACTGGCACCAGCAGCATAAGCATGACTGTAAAAAACAAAGTAACTCATTATGTGTTTAGATCCATCACACTGTCACCAACCTTAATCTCTAACATTTTGGCTTTCTTTGCACATCCAGAATACTTAGGTCATGCTTTTTTCTATGCTATTATATTACCCCATGTATATATATATATATATATGTATTTATATTACCCCCATGTATATATATACATGGGGGTAATATAAATATATATAAAATATAAATATAAATACATATATGTTTATATATACATACATATATACATAGATACATATGCATATGTTTATATATACACACATACATACATATATACATATATAATCACATTAAATACATGCTAATTTTGAAGTAGAATACATGTATGTTTATATATACATACATATATACATAGATACATATGCATATGTTTATATATACACACATACATACATATATACATATATAATCACATTAAATACATGCTAATTTTGAAGTAGAATACATGTATGTTTATATATACATACATATATACATAGATACATATGCATATGTTTATATATACACACATACATACATATATACATATATAATCACATTAAATACATGCTAATTTTGAAGTAGAATACATATATGTTTATATATACATACATATATACATAGATACATATGCATATGTTTATATACACACATACATACATATATACATATATAATCACATTAAATACATGCTAATTTTGAAGTAGAAAATGTAAGAAAACATACATGTAATTCAGATCCTTTACCAAGAGGTAAATTCAGTGTAGATTTTTATTATTTACTCTTTTGTTTGCTTTCTGCCATACCCGGCAGTACTCAGTACATACTTCTAGCATTATGCTCAGAGATCATTCCTCACAGTGCTTCGGGACCATACACAGTAGCAGGAACCAAGCCTGGGTCAACCACTTGCAAGGCAAGCACCCTATCCATTGTATTGTTATTCTGATCCCTTGTTATTTACTCTTGATTACTAGGAAGTACTTTTAAGGGTTGATGAATAGATAACTAAATACTTTTTCCCTATGCAAATAGACATCTGTCATGCATACATACACAGATGACTTACAGATGTGTGAGTATAATTTTTCTTTATAAGATCCTGATATTCCAAACCATACCATAATCTGCTTGTTCTCACTTGACAAGTATAAAAAAGTCTTTGTATATCAATGAATTTAATATTTACACTGTCATTCTTTTTTGTTGCTGTTGTTTTTTGGTTTGAGGTCACACCTGGTGATGCTCAGGGGTTGCTCCTGACTCTGTACTCAGAAATTACTCCTGGAAGTCCTTGGGGAACTATGTGAGATGCCAGGGATCAAACCTGGGTCAGTCACATGCAAAACAAATGCCCTACCTTCTCTGGCCTACGTTGCCATTTTTAAGCCACATATTATTTTGTAGCACTGTAGCACTGTCCTCCCATTGTTCATCGATTTGCTTGAGCGGGCACCAGTAAGGTCTCCATTGTGAGACTTGTGGTTACTGTTTTTGGCATATAGAATATGCCTCAGGGAGCTTGCCAGGCTCTGCCGTGAGGGTGAGATACTCTCAGTAGCTTGCCGGGCTCTCCAAGAGAGACAGAGGAATCGAACCTGGGTCAGCTTCATGCAAAGCAAACGCCCTACTTGCTGTGCTTTCGCTCCAGCCATATCGCTCCAAGTCCATATTATTCTAGTAGTTTAAAAACTTTTGGAATAATATAAGGCTGTAAGATATTTAGGTGTCTTAGTTTTATTTGAATTTTTTTTAAGCACAGGTGTTATTCATCCTGTTTGTTTCTATGCCTTTTTTTTCTACTTCTTCATTCTGTTTTTTTTTTCTCTAAGAATATCTAATTACCTGTCTCTCTATGTATAAATGAGTGGTCCATTGCTTTCTATTCTGTAAAATTATGAAACTGATTGTGATGAAAGTTTTCTTCTGACTCTATGAAATTATGAATATATAGCTGGGCAAATAATTTTATAGCTTATCATAAATTTATAGAAAATCCAGGCTCTTGACTTTCCAATAATGAACTACAAATTGGCTCATTAAATAGGTTATAACAATTGGTTCAACTAAAATCAAAATATGGATTATTTTCATATGAGGAGATATTTTATTTCATGTTAGGGTGCCAAAAAAATAAACAATGTTGAATGAATATTATGATACAAATAGCCCAAATGGGAAATTTCATATATTCCACAATCAGTAGAGGAGGTAATAATTGAATAAGCTTTAATAAAGGTAATAAGATAATAAAGGTAATAAAGGTAGTAAGTTGTGCTCAGTAAGTGTAATAATGTTATAGGCTTTGGGCTCAGGGATCACTCCTGGCAGGGCTGAGGGGATCATATATGGTAGCCACAAGAACCTTTTATTTTGCAATATCCTCTTACCTTAAAGCAGTTTTTGAATCTTTTGCTCACCAAATACAAAGCAATTGGATTAATGCAGGAATTCAGGGAAGCCATGTTGATGCCGATGTAGTCCAGTACCAACAAAAAGCTGTAAAATAATGCAAACCATGCCCATGAAAAAAAAAAAAGACCTGCTGAATTTGAACATGTATTCTTTGCAGACTTTTGCATTTTAGTAATGAGAAATAAAAAACCCAGTATGGTGGTTTTAACTTGAACACTTTCTTTGCTCATAGTGATCTCTCTCTCTCTCTCTCTCTCTCTCTCTCTCTCTCTCTCTCTCTGTCATCAACACCCCCTCCTATGCTCAATTTTCTCTTTTGGAATTAAATCTCATTAGGAAGTGCTAAGGCTGTCTGACAAGGAAAGATTAACAAAGTTCAAAGGACAAGCAAACATGATATGTTCAAGTGTTACCAAGTGTTACTCTCTAATTCTTTGTACAGCTCTGGTTCTCCATTCCCAGTGTTCCCTTAAATCCCCTTTATTTCTTCCTCTAAAATGGAGTCAAGGTTAAAAAAAAAAAGAATCATAATTGCTTCCCAAGAATTAGAAAATGATTTTCTGTTCATGAAAAGAAAGGACAGAGAGACTTCTCCATGATACTTATTTACAAAACTATTTCTTTTTTTTTTTTATCTTTCTTACCTCAAAAGTTCACATCGATTCGGATCATTCTGGTCATAAAGCGTAAGCTTCAAAATTCTGCTGAGGTGGAGCGGAAGCCAGCACAATGCAAAGACAAGGACCAGGCAAAAGACCGTTTTGGCCACTTCCCGTCTCTGAAATAAAACCATAGTCAGATCCTGCAAAGATGACTCATTATCAACACAGCATTCTCTCTTCCCAATCAGAATATTTAATATACTTTACAAAAAGTCATGGTATTTGCAAGATTTCAGAATACTAAGATTTAATTGGAATATTTAATAAGAGTTGGAACTTAAACATGGAGAGATTCATCTTTAAAAAGTAATGTCTTTTTCTAGGCCCTTTTAGATTATGCAGAATATCTCTTGTCAGGTCACTTTAAATTGTTCTTTGCATATTAAAATATACCAAGAGAAGAATTATGCACTAGAATATAGTAGTTCTCCTTTATAATTTTCATATTAATAATTATAATCATGAGTCAGCAATTCTTACCTGCTTTAGATGGTCATTTAAAGCAATTTGCATGCCGCTTTTCTTTCTCAACATTTCACACGTCATCAGGGTGTAGAAAAATGCAGTGATGGCCAATGGCAAGCAAAAATAGAAGCTAAATAGCCACCAATCTTTAGCCATCTTGTAAAACTATGAGGAAGAGAGAATTTTAGTTCAATATTACACAGTAAGGAAATTTTATATATCACATGTTAAAGTAAAATATATAACATAGCATCAAATAATAATTATCTTTTAAAGTAGGTTCATTTAGCGGATACTGCAGAGACTCTTTTAGACAACATCCATTGAACTGAATCTATATATTTATCTATATATCTAATATATATCTATATATATCTATAATCTATATATCTACTGAACGTATCTACTGTTATTGAATACTTACATTAAATGTATCAAACGCTTCCTAAAAGGTTACTCCCAGAAGGCTCAGGGACCACATTGGGTTCTGGGGAATGAATCCAGGCCAACTGTATGCAAGGCAAGTGCCTTACTAGCTGTACTATCTCTTCTGGCCCTGCCATTTATTTTCTTAATTCACCCTTTTATATCAAAGACCTATTTTCTGGAGATGTGCATCAGTATTCTTTCCTACTGCTTGATTCAATGTTCTTTAATAGAAAACCAAGATAAAATGTTCTTGGTAGCTTTTCTTTTAGGAGAGCAAGCTTGCCATTGAGTCATCCATACCAGTGTAACCTCTGCCTGATCCTTTCCTGAACCATCCACTCCCTCTCATTACTGCTATGTGAAACCTTGCATGCGTGCACACACACACACACACACACACACACACACACACACACACACGCATATATATCCCTATTGTGGGAGACGGGTGCTATATCTGGCTATGTTGACAACTTAGTCTTGGTTATGGTTGGATCGCCATATGTAGTGTGGGGACTGAATGATGCTGACTGCAAGCAAGGCAAGCACCTTACTCCCTATACGATCTTTCATGTCCTATCTAATACAGGATATGCATTACTTAAAAGTCTCTTGGGGGAATTTCAGTATAGTAGCTATAAATTCTGTCCAGTTCTCTTGTGAACTTGGTGTATATATATATCCCAAAGAGCCAAGGATTTGTGGACCAATAGTGATCCAGCTTCTTGTAGCTTGAGTCATTTGTCACTGTATACACACACACACACACACACACACACACACACACACACACACCAGTGACAGTCATAAATTAATGTTTTCAAGAAGGGGAGGTCCTGACAGAAAAGAGCTACATATTTATAAGGATAGAGCAGGGGGGAAAAAAAAATGTACCTGCATGAAGGCTGTTTTCTGGGTAGGATGAAGCAAGCAGATTCGCAGAGAACTTCCTTTGTAGTCAATGGTAATTAGATCAAAACCCATAGCCTCTGGTACAGCCAAAACCACTGAGACCAGCCAAATTAACACAATTTCTACTGCTGTCCACTTCGGAACACCAATTCCTTTAATTCGACTCCAAGAAGCCACAGCTCGGTATCTGAAGAGGAAAATAGGATTGTCAGGCTGGTGGACCCCGGTTGCGCTGAATGACGTAGTGTTTTCTCGAGTAACTTAGCAGTGGAACAGATAGAAGGCAGGCTCAAGAAGCTCTTACCTGTCAATACTCAGAGCACACAGACTCAGCACCGTGATTCCCACAGAAGCCTTCTGGATGAAAGGTACCAGCTTACACATCTCCACTCCAAAGGGCCAGTCCTCTGCCAGGAGCTGTGTGGAGGATGGGGGAAATATGAGTGAGGTTTTCACAAGGGGCCTCTAAACAACCTTACTCAGGGGAGGGAAAACCATCAACATGCAGAGTAAGATAACAAATTCCAGTTTTAATGTTCCCTCCTGGACTTCTCATTTGGAAAACACCAGTGTTCCATATATGGAACAGAAAGGTATACTGGGGGAATATGAGAAGACTGGCTCATGGGAAAGTGCCATGTGTATACAGTAGAGTCAGCGGCTTGAGACTCGCCATGGAAGTGCATTGCCTAATTCTTCTTACAAAACTGAATTTGAAGCGTTGAAAACCTCTATGACGCTATCATGGTTCTCTGTAATACTCAGGTCACAGCAAATCCTTATTTAATTAGAGATGAGAAGGGGCCACTTGAGCAGGTAGGACACTTGCCTTGCATGCAACTGACCCAGGTTTCATCCCTGGCTCCACAAATGGTGGCCCGGGCACAGCCAGGAGTGATCCTTGAGCACATAATCAGGAAGAAGCCCCAAGTACCGACAGGTGTGCCCCACAAACAAACAATAAATAGAAATGGTTCTTAGCTAGGGAGACTAGGCTGCTCAGCCAGTATGTTCTTGTTATTCACTGTAATCAAATTTTGATGTCAGCAGAGTAACTCAGCCAGAGTCAACTCATGGTCCTTAGCACTCCAGGTACACAACTGTCTTTTTTTTTGGGGGGGGGGGGTCACACCTGGCAATTCACAGGAATTACTCCTGGCTCATACACTCAGGAATCACTCCTGGAGGTGCTCAGGGGACCATATGGGATGCTGGGAATCAAACCTGGGTCAGCCGCGTGCAAGGCAAAAGCCCTACCCGCTGTGCTCTAGCCCCGGTACACAACTGTCTTAAGGCATCTTTCCTTCCTTCTTCCCTTCCTCGCTTTTTTTTTTGTTTTTGCTTTTTGGGTCACATCCAGCAATGCTCAGGGGTTACTCCTGGCTCTGCACTCAGGAATTACTCCTGGTGGTGCTTGGGGGACCATATGGGATGCCAAAGATTGAACCTGGGTCAGCCACATGTAAGGCCAAACACCCTACCCACTATACTATTGCTCCACAACCCCCTTCCTCACTCCTTCCTTTCTTCCTTGCTCCCTTCCTCCCTTCTCACTCTCCTCCCCTCTCTACCTCCCTCCACACCCAGCAGTGCTCAGGCTTACTCCTGGCTCTGACCTCACACATCACTCCTGGTGGGGCTCGGGGAACTGTGTTTGGTGCCAGAGATCGAAAGTTTGAAACTAAATCAACTGCATGCAAGTCAAGTTTTCTACCTGTTATACTATCATTCCAGCCCCCAAATAAACCTTTACTTAAAGGCTTTGTTTGTTTAGATTTTACTGTCTAGCATCCTAGAATCTGAGAGAGAATAGAAGCTCTGCAGCCTAAGACAATTTCAGACACAGAGCTGACACTTCAATTCACGAAAAAATAGACTGCAGACTATGTCCCCATCTATTGTTAAATGCTGTTCTTTCCTTTCTTAGTACAGCTGGGTGTGCCCCACATGGGCAAATGAATCACATTAGGTGAACATCTGGAGCAAATGTTCATGAGGTTTAGAAAATAAAGAAAAATATTTCAAATCTATGCTTAAAAACAGTTTTAAAAAATAAGCTTCCAACCAAAGTGAAAGCTATTTTGAAACACAATTGAGTCCTTCCGTCTTTTCACAAATGAGTGTTTGTTTTATGAAGTTAGTCAGCTAGGTGATTGTTTTCTGACCAGCACAGCACTAGAGCTGAAATTTGTGTCGCATATGAATAGGACTTCTAGTTCAAAGTGGAAGTAATTTCACTTCTAAATTAGAGGTGAAAAGTTAAATTGACATATAGGACAAGTATTGGTAGACTAAACAAAAATATGTTTACACTGGGGTCCTACCAGCCTACAGTGGCAAGCAGGAAATCAAATGTTAAGTATAGGGGATGGAGCGATGGACAGCAGCTAAGCTGTTTGCCTAGTACAAGGCACTACAGGTTTGATCTCAGGCAGACCCAGAGCCACCAAGTGTGATCCCTGAGCTCAGAGCCAGAAGGGAGGTCTAAGAACCACTGAATATGGCCCTCAAATCAAAAAAGAAAAGTAAGTATAATGATTGGGGCCGGAGAGATAGCACTGTGGATAAGGCACTTGCCTTGCACATGGTCCCCTGAGCACTTCCAGGAGTGATTAGTGATCCCTCCGTACTGCTAGGTGTGGTCCAAGACAAACACCAGCAAAAAGGAATTGCCAGTGTGGAGAGTTGATCTTTAACATCAGGCAGGGCTCAGCTGCCTGGCATCCTCAGGCCCTTGCATCTAAATACCAATCCCACTTGGCTGAAAATTGCTGGTAAGAAATCCTGGATCTCATGAGTACTGCTTGGGAGCCCCCCCAAATTAAAAAATATATATAAAACAAAAGAACTGCAAATTACTCCTGAAAACATTAAAAAGATTGCAACCAGTTACAAGAACCCTACCAGACCCAATTTTCGACTATCTTAAAAGAACTCTGCCTAATCATTCTGATTGTCCCCAAATGTACTAAGGGTAGCACTGTAGCACTGTCCTACCATTGTTCATCCATTTGCTCGAGCAGGCACCAGTAATGTCTCCATTGTGAGACTTTTTGTTACTGTTTTTGGCATATCGAATATGCCACAGGGAGCTTTTCAGGCTCTGCCATGCGAGCAAGATACTCTCGGTAGCTTGCTGTGCTCTTTGAGAGGGACGGAGGAATTGAACCTGGGTCGGCCATGTGCAAGGCAAACACCCAACCTGCTGTGCTATTGCTCCAGCCCGTAATAAGGGTAGCAAAGCAAAAATCACACATATCTCACAATATAGCACACAGGATGCACTATTCTAAGCATTTAGATCTAATAAAACCAAACCAAAATCAAAACAAAATCGAAGCACTTAAAACTTTATTAATTTTCTATGTCAGCTTCAGATTTGTTTGCATGTTCTTTGGTGGTCTTCTCTTCAAAAGGTGAAACTTCATGGGACCATAGAAATAGTATAGAGTAAGGTACTGGCCTGGAAATTAGCTAAGTCTGGTTCTATCCCTAGTACCACATATGATCCCCTAAGTATTGCCAGAAGTGACCTCAAAGAACAGAATCAGAAAACAGCCCTGAGCACCACCAGGTGTGGCCTCCAAACAAAAACAAAACACAAAAAAAGTGAAGCTGTGTTTTCAACTACATGAATGGGGATGATTTACGATGCCCATGATTTGCTTTTTAAAAACAGAAAATAATTTAAAAAAAAGTTTCTGCATGACAAAAGAAAGTCAGATTTAAATAAGGATACATTCTATTGAATAAGAGAAAATAGTTATGTACAGTACAGCGATTAAAGGGCTAGTATCTGAAGTATATGAAATTCACAAAACCCAGCAATAAAAATAACCCTGTATAAAAATGGGTTCAGATAATTTGGCACTTTCAGAAGAAGACATACAGATGGCCAGTAAGCAAATAATAAAGTGTTTATCCATTGCTTATCAGGGAAATGTAAATTAAAATGACTTTTTCACACCTGTGAAACTGCCATAAATAGAAAAGACTACAAACAGAACCCTTATTCACTTATGGTGGAAAGTCATTTGATTCGCCCTTTATGGATAACAATTATGTGCATTCTCAAAAAAGTATAAACGCCCATGTCACCCAACAATTCCATTGCTTGGCATTTAATTCCAAAATACTAAAATATTAATTCAAAAAGTAAATGCATGCCTATCTTCATTACGGCACTCAGTACAGTAGCTAGGATATGGAAGCAACCCAAATGTCCAGTCAGAGATGGAAGGATAAAGAAGATGCAGTACAGGTCCATAATGGACACTATGCAGACATAAGAAAAAGTAAAATCAGGCAATTTGCATAAGAACTGAAGGATATTGGTCAAGCAAAGTAAGTCAGTAGGAGAAGGAAAAGTACAGGATGATCTCACTTAACTGAACATGCAGAGGAACAAAACAAGGGACTACACAATATTGAATGATAACAAACTCTTCTCTTGGATTACAAAACTGACTACCAAGGAGTAGGAATTTGGGTAGGAAGGAATAAAAAGGTAGACTGGAGGTGACACAAGAGCAGTAGTAGTGGAGGTAGGATTGAGGTGTAGTAACTTCATCAGTACCATAAACATTAATAATATTGTAAACAAGATAGTAAGCAATAATTTTTTAAAAATTAAGGGAACAGTATGTGGCAAGAATGATGAGCTATGATATTTGAGGTTAGTTCATAAAAGGCATGAGTGAAATGGTTTCCTCCATGCTCTCTCTCAGATTCGTCATTCTAGAGGAACAAGCCAACCTGTCATGAGGACACTCACTCAGGCATCTCTTGAATATGTTATTTATCCGTCCTCTTGGGTGATCTCCCACAGAGTTTCCAGCCTCAGTGTATTCTTCTTCACCACTTTATAACTAAGTCCTCTATGGCAAAGCCAACATGGCACAGAATTAAGACCTCCTGAAAGTAGCTGGAATGAATTTTCCAGATGAGAGGCTTATCCAGGCTTAGGCAAACTTTCAGATAATGGCAGCCCTCACTCCCCACTCACTATATTGATATATCTTCATGGGAGATCCTGAATTAATTGCCCAGCTGAGCAAATCCAAAATTCCTGACCCAGAGACACTGTGTAGATAATAAATGTTTGCTATTAAAGTATTATATTTGGTATCATTTGCTACTCATCATTAAACAATACGTAACAATATATAACTATGTGTATGTGTCTGTGTGTCTGTCTGTCCTTGGTCAAGCACTTAAGTTTAGATTCACATTTGAATCCAGATGGTCTAATTCTAGAGTCTACAGTGTATTGAATCGAGGGCTGGAGCGATAGCACAGCGGTAGGGCGTTCGCCTTACAAGCGGCCAACATGGCCGACCTGAGTTCGATTCCTCCGCCCCTCTCGGAGAGCCCGGCAAGCTACCGAGAGTATTCGATATGCCAGACACAGTAACAAC